GAAATGGACAATGTGCGGTCTTTATATATACCAGACGCTTTCCGAACTCTTTCCCAGTCGATGTGAAGGTCGACGCACTTTTGCTTTAGCTCTTTTATATATGACGAGGTTCGATTCAGTAGGATATCGCCGAAAATGCTACAGGCTTTCCTTTGTTTTCTGATTGTATCATGGCATTCAAACTACTGCCACTGACTTGAGTATTTTACTAACGATTTCGGAATAGCTAATTCACCTGCTTGAACAATTTTATCGATAAGAATCTTCACAGCATAATCAGTTTGCTCATCTTTCACCACTTTTTTAGCGAAATAGGCATGATGAGAGAAACAAGTCCGGTTCTTCTTTATCCTACAAAACCATGGTGTTCTGAAGGACTTCCACTTCCCGCAAAATTTACAACGACTGGAAAATGGCTTATTAAATGAATAATTCCCAACACTAAAGGAGCAGAATTGCAGAAGATGTGAAGCAACAATAGCGAAGTTAATCGAGCGGAAGGTTCTTGTTGGTTGATTGAAAGTGTATCTTTTCTGCATTGTTGAGTATACAGAGACAATGGTGATGGAGGAGCTGTTCGATTTGCATTCTCCGTGAATTTTGAATCTCTAGTATCCCACAGGGGACCGTGTATATTAAAATCACTAATCAGATTATATGGTGCTGGTAGCTGCCCAATCAAATCATCCAAATCTCACTGATATATACTTTCATCTGAGGGAAAACATGCACTACAGACAAAGAGGTGTAACCAAGGGAATGGCACCTGATGGTCAGTTAATGGAGGTAAGCAAACCAACACCATCACTTCGACGTCCGATGAAAGTGTTATCCTTTCTTATCATTGAATTCATATGTAGCTTCGCTGAATAATGAGGTTCAAGAAATGTCTTTTGTACTGCAATACAAGTAGGTTGATAATTACAAATAAGCTGTTTAATACATTTAAGACTCAGTGGAAGCCACGACAATTCAACGATATGACGGTGGCCATTAGGAATGTTTATAATTACGATGCAGTTTCCTTGTTCTGTGTGCTAAGACATGTTTTGGAAGGTCTGCGTCTCGCTCCATTTCCATTTCTGATTTAACAAAATCAGAAAAAAATACCTTCGACAAAGTTTCGTCTTGGGCATTTTTAATTTTCTTTTCGGAGCTTTCTGTTGTCTGTTTGGACGGAGGAGGACTTAAATTTTTTTTTTGCTGCCAGTTCTTTTTTTGTATGCTATGCGATGTTTGGTTACTTATTAATCGAAACGATTTGGTGGCTTTAGCATAAGAAAAGTTTCTTGGTTGACTGGTACTAAATAACTTTAAAATAGATGATTTTTAACTTTAATATGCTGTATTTCTTTCTCTTCCTTCCATTTAGAGCAGGTTCCCGGGTATGATGGATTGCCAGCTTGACAGTTTACATATTTTGGATCAGCAGCGCAATCTGTAAATTTCCACAGTATGCACCCTTTGCATGTCCAAATCGTTGGCAACAGAGCAATGAGTTTGGCACATAAGGTTTGAGGGGACATATCAAGTAATTCGCTTTAATGGACTTCGGTAGCTGTGGAGATGAAAACAGCAGGATATATATGCTTTGCGTTAAAAAGTTGCTCAACCCTCGGATTTTTGTTCGGCGAACCCCACCAACCTTTGCTCAGCCAATTCTTCCTCGGAGTCTGATATCAGGTCTATTTCTGAAATGACACTTCTGAACGTGTTCAAAGAATCATGTGAAGACACACTAACCAGAAAGCTCGCCCATATTTGTCATTTTTAGGAGAAAAGAGGATTGTACATCAGATAATCGTCTCGATGTATAGAGATCTTGAACGGAGCTTTTTTGCTCACCACCATACACTTACTATAGCCACTATATACTTAGACACGAGGAATGGTGATGGAGTTCCTAGTTGATGAGTGATGATTACGAATTTAGGACATCTGAATGTTCTCGTTAACAATGGCAGAAAAGCATATTTCCCTAACAGTTCCAGAATTTTTCGTTTTCATGTGATTGGAAGACTTTAAAGTTGCCATATTATAAATAGAAGAGATTCAGATCCGACAGCTCCACCCTTCATAGAGCCCAATGAGGAAACAACCCGTGTCAGGGTTATACGCAAAATGAAGCTTCACAGTTAGCTTTCTCGAAAGCTTATCCTCAAGCCACTGACACAAAGGACTAGTAGCCTCCCGACAGATATTCACGGGTAGAGTTAAATGCCTCCCTTTTGGGCTAAGCAGAGTGTAAAGTAGTGGTGTGATAGTACCTCGCCCTTCAAGTAATCAGGATCCTTCTTTCCAGTCGCACGGATCTCCACGCACAGCAAACGCAATATTTGTTCCATTAAGACAGGAACAAGAGAGTTATAACCGAACTTCATAATGAGATTCATCCTCTACAAACCATAAGGAAGACGTAAAAGCTAAGAGAAGAGGAAAACGGGAAAGGTCACAGGGGAGTTGGGGATTGTGACATCCAGTCACCAAGAAGTTAATTCCCTGAAGAGTCTTCGCCTGCTATGGATATATTGGAATGGCCTTCAAGCCTGCGGTGAGGCAGCACAGCAGGACTTGGGATCCAGCAAACGTGACTAGAATCGGTAGTTTTGTTACCTTTCTTTGCCTTAACTTTAATTGTGGATAGTTAGAATATTGCACTTTTTCTGAGTAGTTTCAGGAATGTTACCTTGCTCACATAAGTCAACATCTGATACTACTGCATATTTTTTTCACTTGCGTTAATGCACCTCCAATTTGAAGAGTTCGCCAAGTCGTTTAGGTTCACCTGAATACATTCTACATTTAGAACAAGAAGGAAGATTACACCTGCAGTACTCATGTGAATATCTACAGTTAATTCTGTACATAAGCTGAGTTTGCAGAATCAGCATTAGTTTTTCTGTTCAACACTTTTTTTTTTTTTTTTTTTGCATAAATTCCGGCAAGGCATTGAAATCATTGTGCATCTTTCCTCGCATTCCCCGAAAAAGTGCTTTGCTTTTCAGGAGTTCTTTGAAGATGAAATTTTGAAGATTCTAGCAAAAATTCCAAGATATCTTGAAAACAAGATACAAAAAATAAAATATAAGAGAATATTCAAAAAATAAAATTTAGGACTCTCCAGCATATCTTTGACAACCTCTCCAAACTCACATGGCAAACGTTTTGAGTTTTCAGATTAAGTTGCAGAAAAGATAGAAGTAACCATAGTCCACTAGTAAGTGATGAATTCACTAGCTATAGCCGAAAATATTCTGGAACAGAAACTATCCTAAAGCTGTACAAATTATGTGGCTTAATGATAACCAATCCAGGCAAGCGCTGCTTGCATGCACTAACTGATGGAATCATCTAATGGCCTTTCTCCAACATGATGCACGGTGGAGTACATTATCTCTCTCTTTCTCCAAATGGATACCATCAAACAAGCGTGAAAAATTCCCTCAGTGAGTGTCTGAACTGCACAAAAGAATTTCGTACAATTTGAATCAGGAAATACAGGTACAATTTGATGTGAATATTACTGTATACTTATGGTTGTTGCATTTCATGACAAAAATTACATTGCGAGTTAAGAGAAACATACCCGCATTATTAATATATAATACAAATGAATGGGAAGAAGGAACTTTATCAAATACAAAAATTAACTACGATTTCATAGTTTAAGCATTGTTCTCTTAAAATACTGAAAAATGTATAAAATAAAGCATTACTATCTTGAGACAAATAAACTGATATTCTCAGTGGATACTTCCAAACAGTGGATACACCGTAACATGAAATTGATGTAGAATTTAATAATGAGCATTTCTCATTCATACAGCTCCTTAAACACTAAATCACATATGGCCCCTGCACGAGGATAACATCTGAAGTCTAGTGAATAAAACCAATTAGGGCATCAGTTGAAACACACATCTGCAGTTAACTGAATGAAACCAACCAGCTGTACTTTATACTGGGGAAAAAGAACTAACTACATTAAATTTTCATAATTGACATTAAGTTTTCATAATTGACACTGCAAATATGAGCCATATATTCCTAAATATCATTTATAAAATGCATGAAGTTTAAGAACATAGGGTATTTAATCATACCGGTAGTATTTCACACATTTTATAAACTCATATTTCCCAAGCATAAGTTATAAAAATATTTTTAATCAAAAAGTTGTATTAAAAAGTAGATAATTAAAAATGTAAAGTGAGGTATCTTTAATGAAACAGCTTAAAAAATTTATATATATATTAAAATTAGTTTAAATGAGAAACTCAAACTGCATGTGGGTCACATGCACAATCTGAAAACAACTGAGAGGTCAGACTTTTTTTTTCTTTTCTTTTTTACAATATGAAAACTTTATTAATAGAATTAAAAAATATTTATATAAATTTTAAATTTCGCTCACTAAATGTTTATGAAAACGTGACATAAACAATATTGATAATATTACAAAAGATATTAAAAAAAAATTCTATTTATTTTTACCTGAAATCTAAAGTTTGGAACTTGGCAAGAGTATTTATTGGTTATGCTTTTTAATTTAAACATACTAACAGCTAAATATGAAGTTCTTAGACTGACATTCCTTTCTAATAAATCTAGCATGTTTAATTAACCATAAATTATTTATTTAAATTTAAACTAAAAATAAACAAATTATAAAAACTTTCTAAGTTTTCAGAGAAAATTTTACAAGTGGGACAAAACTATAGACTCCACAAAGACAAACTACCTGATTTCCTTTTCTTATTTATTAAATTTTTCTTTTCAGCCCTTAAATAAAAACACATGTTTGTATACAAATAATTTTAAACTCTTTATTTCTTACTACAACTTGATACTTGATAGTATTAGTTTCTGATAAAACTTGTAGCCTTGGAGAGAAATTATTGGAAATTATCTTTATTAGTCAATTGGGTTCTTTTCTTATAAATGTTCAAATATGAAAATTTATAATGTTCACATAAAAATGTATTCTAAAACAAAAGTGCAAAATTTCATAACTGAGTTTATTTATTTTTTGACAAATAGGAATAAAAGTTAATGAAATCTGTATCTTGAAATCTTTGAATAAGATTTATATCACATCGTAAATTAATTAACTACTTTCATTGATTTTCTGGTACACTGCTCATGCTCATTTTTAATGTAAATGAAAATAATATAAACTCGAATTTCAAATTATTAAATTTCGAAATCTTTGTAACATCATTTTGAGACAAACACATAACTGAAATAAATTTGTGGGCTATATAAAATTGCTTTGGAGGCCATCAGTTTGATACCCCTTGTTTAAAGTTTTAAAAGACACGAATGCACAAAAAAACTTAAAGAAAATGTTAACAAACACATTTGAGTTCACATTCCATTAGTACTATGGAATATTCCATTACTACTATGGAATCCATAAATATGGAATATTTTTAAAATTTCAATCAAATGAGTATTATTTTGTATTACTTTATTTTTAGTTTTTAAATTGAATACAAGTTTGGAAAAGCATTTGAATTTAAAAAAGAGTATTTACTGAAAATTTGTATTCAAAAGTATTTATGTAAAAAATATTCTGAAGCGGAAGTGCAAATTAAGTGCTTTAGCAAAACTTTTGATAATTTGAAATACTAGAAAAATAATTTGTTTTCTTTTTTTTAACAAACTGAAAATCAGTAAAAAAGAAGGAATATAAATATAACAATTTTACTTTGCTATTTTGAAACATTAATGACAAAGTTTGCAATTAATGAAAAAGAAAGATATTTAAAGAACGTAAATCTATTAGAAGTTTATATAAATTATAAAATACATTTAGTAGTTTGCAATTTGTTTAAAATTTCAAATAATTTATACATGAATTACAACAAATTAGGAAAATAGTCTGACTAGTTAAAAAATATCTAATTTACAGGTAAGTGCAATATATTTTACACAGATGAACACTAACTACATAAAATCTCTCAATTTTAACTAAGTGCTATAAAAATGGTTAATAAATAAAGTTGAAAATATAAAATGCTTTGTTTATTACATAAATATAACATTTCCCCTTAATATAACAATTAAATAAATGCTTATTTTTGCTACACATTAATGTACTAATAAAGAGTATTTTAAAAGTATGCAAAACAGTATTTATAGAATAATTTCAAACCATAAACATAATATCAAATATTATATGCTACAATGTAGAGTTACAAATGAATGACATTACAAGAATTTTAGTGAAATGGATCATAAAATAGATATTTTTGTAGTATTTGTGCCCATTAGAATGAGGAATACTTTATAAAGATTAGACAAAATAGCAACTTTAATTTGGTGTAGATTCCGAATAGTCATTTTGATGACAATCAGACACAGGTCCTTCTTCAGAAGGGAAAAAAAAAAAAAATCTATGTTAAGCTGAGGCTAAATTTTGAAATTAAAATTTTATATTGCTGTGTTTCACTTCCAATTTAATATTCGTATAACAGATTCCAGCTGAGTTTTGAGGAAATGCGATTAATAAAGTTACCTTAGACTTTTCTTTAATAGTTATTCTGCATTTTCATTTTTGAATAGTAGTTCTTTAATAATAAATGCAATACAGGCACTGACAACATAATGTAAGAAAAAGCCTTATCATAATTACAGTTCTATTATAATTCTTTTTTTTTTTTCTTTTTTCTCAAAAGATAAAAAAGTACTATATATTACCACATATTAATGGACTGAAACAGACAAAAATCCAATGTAGGAGTTCAACAATAAACTTAATGAAGTTTTTTTTTTTTTTTTTTTTTTTTTTTTTTTTACCCATGACTATCTCTGAGTAACACAGATCAATCATAAGTGCAGTATAGGTACAGACAGCTTGAAGGCAAATGAAATGCCATGCATGGGTTTCAGTCCTGACATTTTAAATATTATCACATATTTACAAATGCAACCTGAAATATTATTTTTCATATTTCACTCCTAAATGAAAATTATATTAGACATATTACAATTAATGATAACATTATAAAATATATAATCAAGGAAAAGCAAATCTCAGAAAAAGAAAAATAAATAAATCAATATACAAGCAAAAAATTTTCTCAGAAGTTTAACAAAAAAGACAATGCAACATATTCATGCAGTGAAATTCATTAAAATTCATTGTATGACATGTACTGAATTTTTTCTTTTTAGACAAGATTAAAAACATTAAACAGATTTCTAATAAAAATGATTCTTTCTAAATAATTTATATATAAAAATATAATGAATATAATGATTTGTTCCACAAATTAAGTACAAACATATCATGAAATAACTAAAATTTTCAATGACTAGTACATTTGTTACATTGGCATAAAATATAATCACATATTAAAACCGCATTCTTAATAATGCAGAAGCAAAGAATATAGCAGTAAAATTATATAACAGATATAAAGCTATACAGTAATGATATCATGTAAACAATATAAACAAATATGAGCTAAGGTCGCTTTTATGATCCAACCCCTACTTTTGAGCATATTTTATATTTGTACACTACCTTAATATTTTTTAATTTCAAAAATTGTTAAGGCAGTTCGAAGGTACATATAACTACTTTGAAGCTATTTATTAAAGGAAAAGAAAGAATAAAAAAATAACTATTCACTGAATATGCATGTAGAAAACATGCAAATATACTCAAGCATAATTTCAATTGTGTAAACTATTATTTTTTAAACAATGGAGAAGTGAAATGAAATCATCACTCAATTTTTTCCCCACCCATAAGACAGAATACTTCTATAATTTTGATTAGCTTTACAAAACAAAGGTTCCTAAATAGCTTAAATTTATAATTACTATTTTCAATAAATTTCTTCGCAAGGAATAATGCAATAACAGTCTACAGAACTATACTGTTTATAATATGAAACTTAGTATTTGTTAATTATTAAACTTTTAAAAATTATTTTTGAATCCTGAATAAGAAGTGAGAATTATTCAAGTTTCTGATGAAGGTTTCTGCATGTTTTTAAAATACTGCATAAGAAATTTTACTATTTTATAATTACTTTTCATATTATGATTATGCTCTTTTTTTTTCAGCTCTACTTACATATACAGAATACACTATACCATTTTAAATTTGACATAAATGTCTAAATCTATGATTTTGCTATAATTTCATTATCAAATATTTTGCTTTGGCACATACGCCAAACATGTAATACTGAGTGTTTCGGAAATGCAGATAAAGCAAGTTGCTTATAGCACATATCTTGCATCAAATCACCCAATCAACTTTTATATTAATAAGAAAAAGAAAATTTTATTTTAAATAACATAAAATAATATTTTGCAATATTAATAGCAGATTAATAGATTTTCTAATATGACTATATTAATTGACTTCTAATATGTTAAAGATTCTTATTTCTTAAGAACTGTAAAAATTTGTATGTAATAAAATAAATTTATAATCTCTGCAAATAAATAAATAAAAAAATCATAAATACTTAAAAATGTTATAAAAACTGAACTATGTTTAATATATATATGTATAATAATATATTCATAAGATAATATAAATTAAATTGATTAAAAGCTTGCCACAGCAACAACAACCAAGATCAAAAATAGGAATAAAAAAGTTTAATTCTTTAAATTTTATAGCAGCACATAACTTTTAATTATAAATTTACATAAATGTTATGCAATATGTTAGCAAAATTTGGAGCATTTATTAAATCAAGAAGCTCAAGTGCATACCAGTTCAACACACCAACGTTTTGTGTACATAGTGCAATCTTTGAGACTTTAACTATGAATTATTTTTCTTTGACAGTTAGTTTGTCAAATTTTTAAAGATTTTTTTTAATGTAATTGTTTACTTTTTTAGAGACACATAATTTTGATTATACTCTTTTTCTCCTTAATGCATTTCATTTTTTCCTGCACGAAAAGCTTAAAAATGCATTAAATAAACCAAATCACAGAATATAATTTGTTTTAATTTCATCTATAATCTATAAACTCTATGCTTATAAATAACTGCTTAGTGACAAAACTATTCTCTGAAACAAATTACATAATTATACTTGAAACATAAATATTCATGTTTTAACTTGCACCTCTGAAAAGGTTAATGCTTATTTAATTTTGTTGTGTAATTGTGCAATTACAAGCTTCTTGATTTACAAGTAACAACCATGCCTTAATTTGTTACCATTACAGAAAAGTAACTGATCACATGTATTATTTAAATATAATTTTTTTTCATATTTACAATAAATAAGTTTTAAAAACTTACATATGTGCTCTATAAATTATATTAAAATATGTGTGGTTAATTGTTAAGTAGTAAAATTTTATAAAACTACATGATATATTTCCTATTTATCATAATTTGAAAAAGTTTCAAGATTCTAGAAATAACTCCTAGAACATTCTGAATAAAACGTGATAATCAGTGTAACAGCCAGGATGCATTCCAGTGATGATAGAATATCCACTCACTGATATCATGCTTTCCGCAGTGCATCCAACATAGCAATTTCTTTAGCTTCTTTCAGACGATTTCGCTTCTCATATTCTAACCTAAAGTGCATGAAAATCATTGGTAATAAAAAATTAGGCTCTCATAAAATTAAATTTGAAAGGCATTTAATTAAAAAACATTAAATCCAATTTTTTTCGAAACCTTATTATTCTTTTTAAAAGTATTACTATTTTACACATATAATTGGGAAAAAATATATGCATGTATGCTCATGATACATATTTAGAACTGCATATTTTCTCACTATTTAAAGAATTTATTAATGAAATAAAGACTTTTATTTTTGAAAAATTACGTTTTCCTATGAAAAATACAGATAATATAAAAAAGATAAATCTAACACATATTTATTGTCAATTTCATATTTTCGCCTTTTAAAAGGGTTCGTCATTAAAACATTTTACCAAAATTATTAATATTACATTTTCATAAAACAAGCTTTTTTATACATATTTCTAAAAGTAAATAGCTAATATCTATATAAATTTCAATAACAATTTATAATAATAAAATATAAATTTCAATTAATTTAAAGCCCACCAGTGGCCGAGCGGTAAAGTCGCTGAACCCTGGTAGTTTGGTCCGTGGTTCGAATCCCATGAACGGGCTGGCTGTATGGGTGTTTTCGTGGTTTTTCCCATGCGTAACGTGTATATGAGTATTTCCCTTAGAAAGTCCTCCACGAAGGCATCCCTCCCCTTAGGCAGATAGCCCTCGAGGCTTTGCCGTAATTAAATAACCTAACCTCAATTCAATTTATATTCAATTTATAATAATAATATATAAATTTCAATTCAATTTCTATATAAATTTCTTCAAATGAAAAAGGAAGTTTTCCTTATGTAACTATATGGATGGTCAGTCAAATGTTCATAATGCATTATATAATAAACCATTAAATCAATTAAGAAGCTGAAATAACAGAGGTTCTAGTTTTTAGCCGAGGTGGAAAATAACATTCACATTTCTGTATTCAATGCCTGTAAATTGACAAATCTTTTTAATGAGATGATTATGGACCATGCTTTTTACTGAGCATATCTCATTGTGGAAGGCTTTCAATACTTTTTACACACTGAATTTAAATGCAAGTTTCATAATATCTGTAAACTGTGGCTTGACATTAAAAACATTCCTCCAAAAATTCTTCACACTAATGTAGAAAAAGGATAAAATTAGAGGTGAATTTTGATTTCTTTTTATGTGCACACTACTTAAATTTTATAGTATTATATACATGCAGCTGCCTGTACTTTGAAAACATATCAAGTTATACAGTACATAATAACCATTTATAGGTATTTGCAATGTTACTAATTTGTATATAGTGTTACATCTGTATGTTATATGCATATCTAAAGTGCACCCATTAAGTAACCAGACAATTTCTTATAAATAAGGAAAGCGACTACTGATCTTCAAATAAATTTAGATCCTTCAAAATAATAAGCCAGAGGGGGTCTATATAATTTTTCCAATGTTTCTTCAAGCAACTGAAACACTGTTTATAGGTAATGGAATTAACTGTTTGCAAAATATGCATAACATTTGATTTAACATCTGAGACGTTTCCAAATCTCTATCCTTTCATGGCCATCTTAAGTTTTGGAAATAAGAAAAAAAAAAATCAGCTGGCGAAAAGTCAGGAGAACATGGTGATTTATCACTGCAACTGAATGTTTAGCAGGATACTGTTATGCAGACAATGTTGTATGGGAAAAAGCATTATCATATAAGGAAAAAAAAAATTGTGAATTAAAAAGTTCTTTCCTAACTCACTTTATTCTGTTTCTTAATCAAAAAAGCACCTTCTAGTAAAAATACTGATTAACAAATTGATTTTCAGGAACAAATTCATCGTGAATACGTCCTCTGTAGTCAAAAAATCCAATCAGCATGGTCTTAGTCTTTGATTTTGATATCAATGCTTTTTTTTTTTTTTTTTTTTGATATAGGAGAAGACTGTCCTTTCCACTGTGCACTTTGTCTTTTTGTTTCTGGGCTGTGTTGTAGACACCACATCTCATCTTCCACTATGATACACTTTAAGAAATTGTTATTCTATCTTGCAGAAGCCATTAAACTTCATAGCAAACTTTTATGTCTCCTTTTTGTAGTTCTGTCAAATTCAGTGGCACAAATCAAGCACTCAGATTTTTAATTAAAATTCATCTACAGCTTTATTTGCTTAGCCAAAGCATGTCTAAAAATTGTTGAGCTGATTCACATCTGTCAACTTAAACCACAAAATGAATTGCCTCCACATTTTCCTCACTCTTTTAAGTTGAAGGTTGCCCTATTTTTGGCTTCCCTTCAATGCTTTTGTGCCCACACTTAAAGTAGTTGTACCACTCATACACTTGTGTTTTTGATAATGATTCATGACCATATACTGTTCGAATCATCTTTAACTTTGGTAGCAAATTTACCTAATTTGTAACAAAATTTAATATTACAACATTGTTCCATCTCAAAGCAAATTTTTTTGTACAGTGCCTTCTCAGTAAATGAAAATGACTTCTGTGTTTGCATATACAAATAACAAAATAACCAGTAGAAACTGGCTTTAATAAGAGTTGAGATGTCATTCTAAACATTATTCTTCCACTTTTTAAATTTATTGTTTGGTTTTTTTAATTAACCAGGGTAGTTTAAGGAACATACCTTGTATCTGTAAATATTTAAATTCTTTTTACTGCATTGTTAATTATTTATTTATTTAACTATTTGTTTCATATTTGTGGCCACATTTATTTTTTATATGTGTGCTTGTTTCTAAAATGAACTTGCTAATCTGACAATAGTAATGTTTAGAGTGTAAAAATAGCTGAATAAATAGTGAAAAATAGTGAAATGCTTTTAACTCAACATAACTTTCTTGAGTTTTCTGGAAGCTTATGTCTTACATAAATACAGTTGAAAGAGCGCAGAGTTGTTGTTACTGTGTTAGCTATTATTCAACCATGAGACTTAGATGAACTGTGAATTTACCCTGCAAGTGATTTTGGCAGTTGCTGATATTTATTGCACCCTAAGAAGAAATTGTTTATACCTGAATTCTGTTTAAGCTCTATTATTATTGTTTGCAATTAATTTTATAAAAATCATTAATTTCTTCCTGTTATTTGATAAAATCTCTGAATGCGTTCATGGTGTCACTCAATGCTTGCAAATTTGAAAGAGTCAGAATTCTTGAATCTAGCACAAAAGGGTCTTTTGCTCTAGTGGTAAAGGATTCTGCTCACATGTCATGGCCTCAAGTTCTGTGTCTGAAGCCAATGCAGCCTCTTGCACCATACTTCTGATTTGATACATAGATGTCACACAAGCAAGCGTCTGCTAAAACACTGAAAACGTCATTTTTTTGTTTTTTCAATTGAGTTCTTGATACATTAAGATTCATTATGACATATCTTGAAACTAAAAATTTCAATTAAATTCTTTGAAATAAAACTAGCCAAATTCACACCATTAGTGTATGCTACGTAAAAGTGTTTTAACATTTATTTTTTTAAATCTAATGAATTATTAAGTAATTTATAAAACATAACTTTTAAGTGTAAAAGAATATTCTTCATATTTTTAAAATTAATTATATTTCAGGAACTCGTAATTATTTTAAAAAGAAAACACACAATAAGTCTAACAAAATAGTTAAATACTTACCTCTGCTGTATAATTCGTTCAACAATTTTTTGAGTTGTAACATCATTGAAGCTATCTAATTGCTTGAATTTACCCTGCCTTTTTGGTTCCTATGCAACAGATTTAATATGTAAGAAATTTAAACTTTTGAAAAATCAGAAGTATAATGTGATCAGATATGAAAATTAAAAATGTTACTTCATAAGGATCAGCTCCACTATCATCAGGCATCACAGGCGTTTGACCATGGCACACTAAATCTACCTGATATAGGAAGAGGAGAGAGAGAAAGAGAGTATTTATTGAAAAGTCAAATTCATACATCTGAAAGCATATACTATAGATAAAAACCAATAATGCTAAAACAGGAAGACCTTAATGATGCACATGAAATCAAAACACATCATAAATGGGAGGAAATGAAAGATTCATTAGAATATGAGTATGAGCACTGTATTACATGATTTTAGTAAAATGTTTACCGAGATGTTAGAATTTCTGCTTTCAATTTTATTACACCCTTTAAATTCTTATTTATTTTTTTCAAAATTTAAATATAATAATGAGAGTACATCAAGCACGTCACTAATGAACATCTCTCTAATAACTCCATGTTTTTCTAATTAATTTAATATAGCAATCCCTTGTTACAATCAGGAATTAGACTTTTCATTATTTCACAACTAATAAAACCAAGGGTAATGTGGCTAAAAGAACATACAAAATTTGCTGCAATTTTAACCATTCATGCAGAATTTCAATAATTTCAGTAAAAATAAAAAATAAAATACAATGAGAAGATTTATTTATGTATACATAACAGTAAAAATTAATTTAATAAAATATTCATATATAAGCCATTCACTAGGTCACTAGGTTTTTACATAATCTTTCCAAGATGTTTAGATCTTATGCTATGTTATGCTCAAGGCTGGTTTCAGAGCTTGACATAATGTATCATAAGGGTAATAAATAAAAAAGTTGTCGCCCTTAAATTCTGCTCTCCAGAGCAACAAAAATTTTCAAATTTAGGAAATGGCAGAATTTAGGAATTGTACAGTTTGCACAACACAGAAAAAAGTGTAGTGTCAGCTCCAGATATACTGCTATGGATTTTCTTACCCATTTAATTTAGTATGTATAGCTATTATTAAAATATAAGGTCTTTAATTTATCTTCCATATGATCTCACAAAACAGCCAGTTCTCGGTGTTGCCATTTAGCAAAGCATAAGATCTTTAATGTACCTTTCAAATTTCAACTCAAAATCTCGAACTCAAAATATGACATTAAAGTTAATTCATGTTTTAAGCAAATTTATAGCTCATAATATATTTATTAGTAATTATGAAAGGTCTGCAAAATTAGCATCTTTTTACTATTTTAATATCTATTCAAATTAGTTAAAAAAATCCTATTAAATTGTAAGGATTACTTTTAATACCTTAAAATGTTCCATGAGATCTTTTGTAACAGCATATGGAGCTCCTATCACAACTTCATTCACATACTAGATTAAAAAGGGAACAAAAAATATAAATTTTCTTTAAAAGAATCATTATATAAGAACAGATGGTGATTATTATCACAAAATTAGTATACAACAATACCATTCAGCAAAAAATTGTATTAGTTTGAATATGAGATGATTTCCTAGCCATCTTGTACATAATGCATCTACAAAGTTTTGGAACTTAATTCATTAAAAAAAAGGGGGAAGGGGGAGAGAAAAATTTTATTGCTGTTAAAATTTCTACTTGCATTTTGTATAACACTCTCTTCTGTATAACTCTTGGTATGTTTATTGAGCTTCTGAATGCTTTTACAGAAATCATCTGTTGAAATGCTGTCAAAATCTAGATTTTTAGTGTAGGATTAAATATAGGGAACAGAAAGTAGTTCTCAACTTGCCAAATTGTGGGGGGGGGACTAGGCAAGATGATGATTAATAGAAATTAACACTTTTCTTAGCAATCAAAATTTTGACGATAGTTGCATTGTGTGAAAGGGTATCAAATTTATGTTACTTGTTTGAAACTTTTCTGTCCTAAAAAAACAAATTCTTTTTAAAAGTTGCATCTATTGGTTCGAAAATGAAACAACAGCTTTTTTCAATAGAAATTTTATTTAAAAATCCAGGATTATTGTCTGCTATTTCATATCACACAAAAATATCAGGCCACCACATTTTGGCCAATGTAGTACAAATTTTTGTTCATTTAAGCTCTATAAAACAGAAAAGCAGATAAACTATTAAATATGCTCCCTTTTTATTTATAATACATGCATATCATGATCATGTAATCGCATAACATGCAGCATGAATTTAGCTTTATTGAATATACAATTATGGTACCTAATATTAGCAGTAACCACAAAAGTATGTACCTCAATTTTGTAACTTTCTTGTAATCTGTGTAAATTTTGGCAAAATATAACACTAGATATTCATTTTATGGGGAAAAAGAAAAGTCCTCCCATATTATAAGAAAATCTGAAGTTTATTTTATTTTCCCTCAACAAGTGCAAAGGCTTTTTTCCTGTTAGTGAATTTTTACTGCAGTATTTTTGAAGCTAATGATGCTTCTTAAATTTTTAGCTATTGATTACTTTGATCATATTGAAATTTATTAATAATTAAGGTTTTCAGTTGGTAGTAATGGCAAAAGATTCATGAACCAGAATACAGCAATAAATTTACAGTAACGCAGCAATAATTTTAATAACTATTATCTTTCTACTCCTTATTGGCAGAAAATATTTGTTGTTGAGTGAGAGTTCCAGATACCTGTGTTGATAATATACAAATAAAATACGAGATAAATTTTCAGTTAGTAGAATGTCTTCTCAGCTTACATATACTGAAGTCTATTTAGTTTAATTGAAATAGTGAAATTATTCTGAGAAAACACAAAACATTCCAAATTCAAAGGCATATACAAAACATGAGTAGAAATTAATAGATTATTTCACAGACACTTTTCAAGTACTTAAGCAACATATAGTTGGCGAGAGTGTGGTTTAAAAGCTACAAGTATGCAAATGCCATCAAGTATATCATTTATGTGATCAGGCCACTTGACAGAGAAGCAAGGACTTCTGTACGATCTTGTGCGTTATTTAAAATAATAGCACTGTATTTTGGCTAAGTTTCCTGTTAAGAACATGCATTTGGAGAGCTCCTTGCATAAGAAAAGTATAACTGAAGAGCAGATAACAAAGTTTATATGCACAATTTCTTACCTACACTTTAAAGTTAAAAGACTATGAAGTGGACACTTGAAATAGTCTAAAGCCTGAAACTGTTTGATTATCCTGTTAATAGAATGAGAAGGGATAAACCATAAGTTGGGAAAATTTGAAAGAATTTTTAAGTGTTGAGCTTTTTTTGAAGGAAATTATACAAATGAATCAAAAGCTGTTCACCATTAATATGTTAAGATGATAGCACTGTAATAAAAAACGATTTATTTATACCAGATGTTGAAGAAAAGCCTACTAAGCCATTTCGGTCCAAGTCAGAATAAAATGCTGAAGATGGAGATCTTAGGTCATTGAAAACTGTTGTGCATGGCAGCTAGGAGGAGCTGTTGTGATATAGATTATGACATCAGGTGCAGAGCTTAGCTACTGGCTACAAGTAAGAATACATAATACATAATTGCACTTTCTTCACAAGAAATGTATTCAATATGTCGGTGGATAAACTGAGATAGATTCTTCAGTACAATGTTATATTTCATTCAGTTACCACATTGCTAGGAGGTACTAATAAAATAGACAACATTACTTTGATGAGCTCTCCAAATTTATATAACACACTTTTATATTGTAATCTTAAGCCATTCTACATCAATTCGAGAAGTAGCAAGGACATTTTCAACAAAATCAGTGAAACTTTGAACCCCAAATTCAATTTCCAATTGATCATCATTAACAAACAATTTTTTGACCAATAAAACAATATACTGAACAGAAGAAAATGAAATCTTCCTTGTCAAAAAACAACTACTATTTCTGCACATTTCAGAAAATTAATGTTAGTGGGCATTTTCTTAAGTAATAGTCACAGCCTGCATTGAAACATCCCATCACATTGGAATAAAACTGACTTATCTGTGAAGCTGTAGGTTTCTTTTTTAGAACATACACTTATAGTCTTAGCAGCAGTTACCAAATCAAAATCTTCATGGTTTTTTCTTTAATAATGATTAAAGACATATGCCTCATTAACATCAGCCTTAAAAGCTGTAAGTTTAACAAATCTTATTACAACTAAATCTGTGAAAAGAGCAAGAAGTTTCTTATTAAGAACATACATTTGGAGAGCTCTTTGCATAAGAAAAGTATAACTGAAGAGAGAAAATTGTGAAGTGGACACTTGAAATAGTCTAAAGCCTGAAACTGTTTGATTATCCTGTTAACAGAATGAAAAGGCATAACCAATCAGTGCTCACATGTTTCAAAATATTGTGAAATTAAATTCTAACCACAATTTGAGAAAATTTGAGAGAATTTTTATGTGTTGAGCTTTTTTTGAAGGAAGTTATACATATGAATCAAAAGCTGTTCACCTTAATTCCAAGAACTGACTTGAGGCATTTTGAACAATTATGTGAAGAAAATGGGAAGAACATATTTGCAGAAGTGCAGAAGGCTGAACTTTTCTAATGAAAGCACAAAAAGCAGCAACCTTTACCCTGTCCACCATGGTATTTGCACCATCCCAATAAAAGACAATACAGTTTACCCAAGGTACACACTTCCGAGGAAAATCATTGTGCAATACATTAAGAATTCCTTCCCCTGATTTATCAGTGGATTTCAACACTGACAATAATGATAGGCATATTTGCCTATGATTTCTATCACAGTATGAAACAAAAAAAAGCAAAAATTTTACAGAACTCATATTGAATTTTGAGCTACCATCAACAGCTAATGCAAACAGAACATAATTGCAACACAACTTCCTTTCTTGTAGTATTCACCATGCATTTCAACAGTGTGGCTGCCTCAGTCCTTTTGCATGCAATTGTTTTTGGCATGGCAGAACTGGGAAGTACTGATCAAAACAAAGAATTTTCATGGTCAGCCATATATGATTGCAATATTGTTTCTCCAAAAGAAATGATGAGAAAAGCTCTACAATTAAATTAGAATAGTCATAATGTTTTATAAAAAATGATGATACTGCCTTTAATACTAACTTTATTTTTATGTAATTATGGTGTTTTTATTAGACTGCACAGGTCACTTGCAGTTCTCATAACTGCCATGAGTGATTGAAAAATCACAATAGCTCTCATAATGCAATGGATGACTTTCTGAAAATTTAAGTAAACATGGCTACTCATCACTATAACTGTTTCCTGTACTCTTGAAGAACTTTTTGTCAATCTGAAAGTGACATGATAATTATACTCATTACAACACTTTTTAATGAAAACACAGTGAGAATCATACACATGTTTATGGCTTTAACAAGCACTGTATTACTAAAGCTGGACATCACTCACATAATGCACGCATGTGACATCATAAAGCTTTGAGTTAATTTGACACATCAACTGTGACATCATTGGAGTCAATATGATCACAGCACAGCCATAAGCTTGGATTTTTTATTTTTACTCACTTGCATTTAGCTGTAATGCAATTCAGACTTGATATAGTCTATAACAAGTATTGTCCCATTTTTAATTTCATAACAAAGGGAAAAAATCAGTAATAATTGTAGAAAATCTGTACTGGAATTTCTATATACATAAACTTGGTCAAAGGTAATTAAGTACATCTGCCAAAGGTACATATCATCTGCAGAGATATGACACACAGACATACCACTGCAGATGACTGTTGAATGTTCTAAGAAACCAGACTGTGACGAGATTTCATCAAAACAAAGGGCATAAAAATCAGATAGAAAATGCCACATTTTTTTTTTTTTTTTTTTTTTTTTTTTTTTTTTTTACTGCATAAGAACCAAGTGCACTTACCATTTTTTTAGGTTTACTTCTCAATATGAAAAGTGGACATATAAATAAATTAAAAAAAAAAAAAAAAAACCTGGAAAAATACATAAAAGGAAAATTATGTCTAAACATATAAATGTTGCAAACTCTAAACTATGAATAATGCTGATATACCAGAACTGCTATTGCTTTTGTGTTAGTGTTTTGGTGTAGACAGAGACTGCTTGCATTGTCAAAAGTGTAAAATTGTCCTTCATTATACTGCACCAAAAAAGGGGGAAAATTAAGATGTAAATCATGGTCAATTATTTATTTAAGGAGCTCAGCAGATCATCAAGAAACAAGCAAGAAATTTCTATTTTACTATATATAATGTGATGATGAGGATGGAGATTAACATTCCATTTTAAGCTCTTAGATAGCCAAAGGATCAATGTTGATCTGCACTACTCATAACTGAGGGGATTTTGTGGGCAATGAACAGCAAAATTACAGTTGCGTTCCACTAGGGGGAAAATAAAATAATAATAATAATAATAATAAAAAAAACTGCCAATATTATTAACTTTATTATTGAATACACATTTACCTTATATTATTACTTAAAAGGAATTCTGAACAGTTTGCTTTTCAATATCCACAGCAAAAAAATGCTGGAGAGGAAAAACTGCATCGCCAAATTCTTTGCATCACAGTTTTAATTATTCTACAATACTAAAACTGTTTCACCAAAATCATACAAAAAAATCACCAAATAAATACATTTTGTAAAATCGAACATCCTCTAACTAAAATAAAATTAAACTTTTAATACATTAGGAAAAAGTGGAATATTTCTACCTCAGTTTATGATTTTAATACATATGAAAAAGATAAGGCAAATATTCAAATTTAATTATTCATTAAAAATATACAAATTTATACTCCAGTATTTAATTATTATAATAAAATAAAATCATACATATTAGTATACTAAGTAGCAATACTATTGCATTAAAAACCTAAATAATGTTAAAAAGTCACAATCAAGCTGTACAGAAAATTTAATACGATAAATGTTCAGTGACATTTGAGAATAGTGAAAAACCATAGCATAAGAATGAGCAGTATACTATTTACAATCAACTAAACATCATGATATTTTAAATTTTATTCATAGGCTAGAATAAGAAAACTTACTTTGCATGCAAGAACACTCAGTACTCTCTCATGAAGATTCATAATTGGGTAGTTACTGCCTTTGTATCGATTAACAATCTACAAATAATAAACATGAAGGATATAAAAATATAGCTTTGGAAAGATTCAATATGTACAAAATTCTCATATAAATCCAGAAAACAATTACATACATTTCTCATTATTATAAATAATATGCTACCAAGTATTTTTCCATGTTATCATTAAATAATACATTGAGGTTTCAAAACAGTAATAATACAGTTGAGAGCACACAATCAAAACTAACTTTTGTGACCGGTAAGTGACACTGCAATAAGAATTATACCATAAAGAAATATATATAAATATATATTAATTTACCGGATCAGTATGCAAACCAACAATAACATAATCTCCTTCTGCTTTTGCTTTTTCTAAAAAGTCTATATGTCCTACATCTAGATAAAAGTTAAGGTTATTAAAAAGACATATTACATAAAAGCCCAACACTAATTTGAAAATACAAGTATTGAAGAATATTCATATTTATCAAATCATAAAAGAAATGCTTATTATACACTTTCATAGATTTTCTTATTTAAGATAGGACATTTTTACTGTCTCAAATAATAATATGGTACAAAGTCCAAGATCTGAAATCATTGGGACTTCAGCAATTTCAGATTTTGGAGGCTTTTTATCATCAGGTTAAATATAGTATGATCACATGTAGACATGGCACTAGTGGGGATTTAGTTATTGTTTAGGTCAGGTAGAAAAATGCAAACCTCCCCACAACCACTAAAAAGCCGAAAATGTCATCTTGGCCACCACTGGTCATGGTGCCACTTCCTAGCCAAGCCATCAGGTGTTTGAAAGTGATAAGCAGAAAGAAAGCTTTGTTAGACATATTTACAGCACACCTACTTCCTTTTGCCAATTATTACATTCTCTATTCCTAGATTCAGTAAGGAGAGGGAGGGTATCTCATATTATTTATTTAGTTATTTTATTTGGCATGAAGCAACTTCTATATTAGTAAGTCAAACTTGGCAGTTTTTTGATTTGAAGAGTGAAGAGAATTGAACTGTTCATTTCAGATATTATTTCTAACCACACCAAAAATAAACAAAATAATCTTTTTACATGATATATTATTAGTATAACGTTTACTTATACTAATAATATATGACGCATTCATATATTATTAGTATGAGTAAACTCACACTCATACAAATTCCACTGAATATAGAATAGAGTTTGAGTCTTCATAACAGTTTTCTAATTATGCATTATACAATCTACCATTCTTACTTAGGTCTCTCTCTCTCACACACACACAAAAAGAGTTTATCAAGATTTTAAAAACCACTGCCAGTTTAATAATGAAATTCAAATACATGGCTCCTTATTATGACAGTGGGAAAAACTTATTAAGTTATGTATATTTTGGTACTAATCATAATTAGCCCAAAATTATGCACACAGTAAAACAATGTAATATACAAAACTATTTAAAATAAATAAGAACACAGCATAAATAATATCCATATTAAAATACATTCAGAAAAGATAAAACATGCATCTGAAACAATCAGTGAGAAACAATAATTAAAATCAATAATTCAGGGGAAAAAATTCTTAAGAAAGTAAAAAGGATACGAAATAAGTCAAAGGCACCAGCAACATAGACAATACGATCTCCAGGCTGCAAGATAAGTTACTATATATTATTGATGCTACATTACTAAAATTTTAATAATGTTTAAGAATTCAATGAGAATAATTACTTGTCATTTAACCGTCATTAGAGAAAAATATTTCAATAATTACTACAACATGTACCAACCTTAAAAAAAAAAAAAAAAAAAAAAAAAAAAAATTATGATGTAGCATTGTAACCTTACAGCTTTCAAGCATGTAGTCACCGCAAGACCGATTTTTTTTTTTTTTTTAAATGGCAAATGCCAATAGAAAAATAAAGTTTTAAAAATATTTTTAGGAAAAACAATAACTGACATAAAACACTATAAGCTATCAATGCTTAGATGTAGGGCCTCCTCGTTATAAATTGGTAGCACAATGCAGGACTCAAATGATTTATCCGGTTCAGAGCAACCAGTGTTTAAGAATTCAAGAGTTGCTTTGAACCAGGGGGAGATAAAATCCCATATAGTGAACTTTTTTCAAGAATCAAGAAATTTTCAAGAATCATTCTGATTTCACACAGTTAAATGAATAATCCCGATTCAATGAAGTTTGAAGAGAATCATCATGATTTTATGCAATTTTGAGTGAATCATCCCAATTTAGTTCAGTTTTGAAGAACCATCCTGATTCTATGCACTTTTGAGTGAATCATCCTGATTCAGGGAAGTCTGAGAGGAATCACCCTGATTCTATGCAATTTTAGATGAATCATTCCAATTCAGTGGAAGTTTTGGAGAATCATCCTGATTTTGTGCAGTTAAGTGAACCATTCTGTTTCAGTGATTTCAACTGTAATATAGTTAAAAGTTCAATAAGTGTCATGCATGCTTTAAAGTCATTGACCTTTCTTTAATTAGTAGACAAAAGTTTGTGTTCTATGTCTAAATTGCAACATTTTCTTTTACCCTCCACAAAATGGACAATATGACGCTGATTCTGGTAATGAATCAAGTGCTGAAGATGAAGCTGAACTGTCGATTTCTTTAGAACTGGAACCCTCATCTAGAGAAAAGTTATCTTTCATTATCAAGTTCTGTCTACGGAACAAATAGTTCAACATATAGTTGATTTTATATGAAGTAAATATTGTAAGATGTACATGTATCTGATGTATGTAAATATCATGTTTTGCATCTGATGAGATTGCCATGGTATTACCCACAAAGAGTATCTGGAAAAAGGTAACAGCCTCAACAGTAAGGTGGACAGCAAGATGGCAGTTCATGTTGACACTGCTATCAAGGAAAAATGTCTGAGTTCTGGCACAAAAAGGTATTGTTCCATCAAGGTAATGAAAGACCACATGCATCAGCATTCTCTGGGTGGACTCCGTACAGACTCAAATGGGATCTTTTGCCACACCTGCTATATAACCCTGACATTGCTCCTTCGAACATTCTTTCTACTTTTTTTCACACCTGCAGCTACATCTTGCTGGTGCTATTTTCCATTCTGCACAGGAAGGCCGAAATGAGGTTGATCTGTTATTAGACTCATGGCCACCAAGTTTCTGGTCCAAAAACTATGAAATGTTGACAGAAAATCGTAGATTAGGGTGATGATTATTACCCACATTAAAGGTACTGCTTTCATGTCTTTTTTTCTAATTTTATTAAGAACGTTTTTTTGGTGGAAAACTTTCGTTGCAACCATATATTTTTCAATCCTGAGCTTGAAAGTCGTTCATAAACGTTGTTGCTGTTAATATAAAACCAAAATTTTCTTTTACATATTCATGAAATTTGTATTATAATCCAGTATTTAACACTTGTATAAAAATCCACATTTTCTTAATTGTAAAGCAATGTAAAATGAAATTTAAAACTTAATAAACACAGAAAAGTAACAAAATTCAGTACAATAACAAAATAAACTTTGATAATAATGGGCATATCCTCTAAAATGCAAATCAGTATAACAACTTGCTGATGGCTGTGGGATGCTGAAATAGAATAGAACCTAAAAACCTCTGTTCCTTAATAAAGGTTATAAAATATTATATTAACTGTCAAGAATTTCAAGATATCCTGGTTCAAAAAACGCTAATTCAAATCATACATATTATCAAGGTAAATGAACACTACGCATCAGATTTCTAAACTGCCAAGTTTATTCAAGTCTAACACACATTCAACTGGCGGTGCCAGATCCAAGAACAAGAAGTATATATACATTATGAAAGATTTATGCCCTCTTTGGTGATTAAAATATATTTCCAGATAAAATTTCTTACAAAGGTAACTGGCTTCTAGTATTATATAATTATCAAAGTTTGCATTTATAATTTATGGTCATAAAAATTTTGAAATTAGTTAACTGAAATAAAAAAAACTAAATTTTAAGACATTTAGAGGAAACTCTAAATTGCCTTAGAATAATAATACGGATCATATAGCTTTGTGAATATAAAATAAGAAAATAAATAAATTTTATAATTATATTTGTTTAAGGAAGGGTTTTTTAAAACTTTTCAAATTAAAAAAAAATTAAATACCTCTACTATTTACATTACAAAATCAAGAGAAATTCCAAAATATTGTAACATAATTAATTTTTCATTAAATAACATCACTTGAAATAATTTACTTAATGCTTTATATTATTTTTTTACATTTCTAATTTATTTATTTTGCACAAACTGGAAGATCCCACAGCTTATTGTGTACATAAAATTAATAATATACCACCTATTAATGTAAAACAAAATTAAATACAAATATGAACTGATTAAATACTGATTGAAACTTCGAAAAAATTATGAGTATCTAAAGGAGATTAAGATAATTCAGATCAAATGAAATTTACTGAAAATCACTAAGGGTAGGAAGAACAGCATTTTTAGAATTTAAATTTAATGAAGTCAATAATTTCCATTTACTGTGGATGGATAAACATGTTCCTTTGTAAAGGTTAAACGAATTCCATAATCTACTGGGAAATTAGGAGATATAATGAAAAACTGAGAAAATTTGGCAGCTATGATATGGCCTAATTTTCACATTTATAAACTACAAATGAAATCATGATTATTAACTTAATGTAGATTATTCTGTTGAGTTAAATGATCAAGTCATCTTCCATTCTCTGGTACTTATTCTTTTTTAACTATTACAAACCTCATTCAGCAGATTAAGAGTAGCTTAATTAACTATCAAGAACATACCCATCACACTCAGATTAAAACCTAAAACTATACCCATTATATAGCTGAGACCTAATATCATTTTATGAAAATAATCATGCAAATTTCTGATATAGTAGTATATCATCATACAATAATCAGTAAACATCTAATACAGAAGTTAAAAAATTAATTTTTGTTTCAAATTTTATATGACAAATAAATTTCAATTACTTTAGGCTCTTTTCCTTCAGAAAACTGAATGATTTTTTGAGTAGTTGGAAGAAACTGTGATATACCAGTCCAAGGACTATGAGTACTAGAGTCCTAAAAATATATATATAAAAAAAAAGATTAATTAAAAATTTTTTTTTGAAAATGCATTATATCTAGATTATTATAAAAGTTGAAACTGATAAGTACATAGTATTAATTTGACAGTAAGATATACTTAACGAACAACAGAACATCAGATGTAGAAAAGATTTAGAGTTTAATTAGACAGCAAGTTTTGTCAACTGTAGGTAACTTTTCCAAGAACTGTAATTTACATGGATCTCCAATTCTTATAAAATATACGTGCAGGGCTTGATGTCTCAAACTAATACAATAAATTAACATTTTGATACAATAAACAGACATTTAAATTAACACAAAAATTTTACTACACATGAATACACACACACACACACACACACACACACATATATATATATAAAACTGACTACTACAATTTTTGTATCTCTCACATACAGCGAGGATAAGTCTGGCAACAGCTGCAGGGAAAAAAAACTTGACAGTGCTGGAATGGCAACAGTGGATGATATTCTATACATTTTTAATTTTGATTTTGAGTAGATGTTTTTTGCGATACTATTGCGTTACAAATTTTGAGTTTTGTGTGAATGAAATAGAATCCGCTGCCCCGCTGCGGATATTAGTAAAATATAATTAGAAAATTAGCTGCATTGAAACCTTTGTGTTTCAAATTTGCGGTATTTTACCTCCTAAAGTTGCGACGAGTTCATAAATTATGCCAGGCTTATTCACACTGGTGCAGATAAGTTCAAATTTTGTTTATTGCGTTTATAGTGTATAACTTGCAAATATATGAATAGAATTATATTAAATAAACATTTAAAATTCTGGAATGGTGTTTTAAAATTTTAGATGTAGAGTGTTCACATTGCTATGTCGGAGCCAGTGGCAGTCAGGTGTAAAGTAAAATTGTTTTTGCTCCACGACATAACAACAATCTTTACATTCTCATCATTGCCAGCTTCCAAACATCATTCTTTTAAAAAGTACAGGGTTGCCATTTACTGACATATAATTTTTTTAATGTTTTATAATTTCTACATAATATATGCAACACCTAAAAAATTGATTGGATAAACAAGCCAGACTTTTTATATAAGCAGATAATCAAACTTTATATAAATGATTCAGTTTTCAAAGATATACAGTGATAAGCCATTTAGATATATGAAGAATCAATAAGATGTTGTGGCTCTGTTTTAAGCAATACATTCCTAAACACTTCCTTGCCATTAAACCAGTGAGTATCCAAATCATGTCCTGTGGTTCAATGAGCCATGCATGTTAATGTGATCCGACAGTTCATCTTCATTTAATGATGGCAGTGAAGTATTCAGTCGATGCCCAATCATGTCCTACAAATGTTCAGTTGGCAAGAAACTATGCTGGCAGAGTAAGCACTTACACACCGTGCAAGGAATTCAGGATGAAACAAGCAGTGAGAGGTAGAGCATTATTTTCTTTAAAATTGGAGTTTGAAATGCCCTGAATAAAAATGAATGTTTGAAAATAAAATTTAATAAAAAGGTGAACCTGCAGCATGTTATCACATAATGGCATCCCCTTTATCTGCCTATGCACATGACAGGTAAACAGCTGCTAGTACTAATGGCACCACAAACCATTATTACCCTTACTGTCGATGGATTATATATTGGCCAAAAATGATAGAGATATCCAGTGGCCATGTTGGTCATCATTTGTGAGGCAAAAGTGAGATTTATTACTGAAGATTAAACTATTCCATTCGGCATTCCACACAAGTCTCTGTAACAACATAAACTTTTACAACAGTGATTTGTTGTTAATGAAAGTCTTAGTTTAGGATGACTGGACAAAAAACCTGCATCAGCGGATCATTGCAAAATTGTCTGCACTGATACAGAAGTATGAGAAATATCACACGCACTTTGCAAATGGCTAGAGTTGTAAACCATGGCTCACATATGGCATGTCATATTCGGCAATTAGTGCAATCTGATATCCATCACCTTGTTCTGGATAACACTTAATGCTGCACAATTATTCATGCATTCATTTCATCAATTTGACAGCACTTCATATATCATCCTAAATTTTGACTAATAGTGAATGTCTAACATGAATCCTGAAATGAATTTGTCCATTTGTTGATAATGAGTATGATGATTCTTAAAGGCATTCTCTTGTCATCTTCACCACTCAGAAAGAGCAGAAAAACTCACATATTATAGTAATAATAATGTCAAAATTGATGTCTTCATGGATTTTTTGGACGTTTATATCCGACTTAGTAATTGCTGGAATGACTTGCAAATGTAATCATTAGTCTAACTTGTACATGTGCACACAGAACAATTTGAACAGCAATGTATTTTCCTTTTCATGATATGACATTATTTCTGTCAGGCAGTGCATCCTTTAGCAAGATGTTTGGCGGTTCCAGAACTTTTTTACTTGTGAAAATGAACTTATGCTTCAAAACTGATATATAATGTACAAATACAGACATATTTTGCATTGAAGGCAATTTCATGATAAATACATAGACTCCAACCTTCAGCAAACCTTGTCAGTAGTCAACGCGCGAACGACATTTTTACAACTTTGAAAATGTGCGCGTAGCGTATGTTGTAATTAACCATTCATTAATTTTAAATTAATAATTAATTGTAATCAATTTTATTACATTTAAAATCCATATACATATAAAACTGAATAATTAAAAATATACCTTGTAAATTATATGCACATTTAATTAGAAATTTTCTTTTAACTCCTCAAGCATTCACTAATAAAAAGTACTTCAAATCACTACTAATCATAGAAAAAATCAGAAGCTATAAATCATATCTTTATTCTGGATATGATTTCTACAGGGAAATAAAATTTAAATAACCAAGAATGATACATATAAGTATTAAACAAAATACGCATAATTTATGAATGCAAAGATTTATATGTAGCATGCTTAAGTTCTGATTTTGAGAATGTTTTTTTATAACACAGTTCTTCATTTGCCTGCATATTTATTTTTTCAATCAAAACTGCTTCAAGAGTTTTAAGACCTAAATTTGGTCGAAATTCCGTCTGATTTTTTTTAACAATAGAAAAAATTCTTTCGCAAGCTGCATTTGAATGAGATATTATTAAGACAGCAAGCATTACAGAAGGCAATACTTTGTATTTAATACACCCATTCATATTTTTTAATTTGGCAATTTCTCCCCATGCTATATCAATACGCAAATCTACAATTTCTTTCAAATCATCTACTTGATACATGGAAAAATTCAATTTCTACTTGATTTAAGACATTTTTTCATCAATAATGGATGGAAAAGTATTCATCAAGTAAAGAACAGATGAAAATGAGACTTCAGTCTTGGTGTTCTGTCAAGTTGAGTCAGCAACTTCAGCATTTTTTGTTTTAGAAATGGATCACTCAGTGGGAATTTATCAATTATATATGAACATGCAGTTACAAAAAAAGCTCGCACAGAATTGAAAAATGATTTCACTTCACTTTCATTCAATTTGGCATTTTTTAAATATAGTCTTGTTTCCGCACCAATCACTAAATTTTCATTTTCTTTTTGTTTACTATACTTCTGAAATGGAATAGACGTTAGAGTAAACATCTTCATTTTCTTTAGAAATTACTGATGGTTTTACAAATCTAACAAATAAATTCATTAAAAGTTCAAAAAGTTCTCTTCTCAATTTATGTATATAAGGAGCTTGGTTGTTGCAAATTAATATTTACTGTTATAAACAAAGGCAAAGTATTTTTCAAAAATAACAAGTACAATTTGGTGGTCGGTGACTGTAAAATTTTTTTAATGTTTTGCAATCTCTTTCCTTCATTCTCACTGTTATCTGGTTTATCTCCAAAAAAATTTATCACACAGCATCCCACTGTTCCAAAATCCTTGTTATAGATTCTAAAAGAGACAACCATCTCGTACTGCAATATTTCAAAATTTTATGAGATTTTGCATACTGTCCCAAAATTTGTTGAGCAACTTTGAAGCTATGCTTCCGTTTCGAACTTTTCTCCAAGTAAAAATATATATCTATTATCAACATTTCAATTTCTGAGCCAATTAATTTTTCAGTAGCTTTTTTTGCAGCTATATGCAAGAGGTGGCATGGAAAACCTCGGGTGATTATACTTGGTTGATGCATTTTGATAAATGATGCTACACCTTTAAACTTTCCAATCATATTACTAGCATTATCTGAAGAAAATGATAAGCAATTTTTCCATTCTAAACCTTTGCTTTTTAAAGTTTTCATTTATACAATTAAAAATACCTTCTCCTGTATTATTCGTGCATTCTAAAATAGAAATCAATGAAGTAATTATCACTCCCTTTTCTTTACTGTAGTATGTTATAACCAATGGGTACAGTTTGTTATCATTGTTATCATTACTTCCATCAGTACTTAGAGAAAATGATGTACTGCACACTGATTTTATGATATCAGCAACAGTATTTTCTGCAAGCGTTTTCACAATAGCAGCAGTTTTGGTATGACTGCAGCTAAATTTTTTTGCTATGGCAGAATCCGGAAACATTGCTTTGAAAAGCTCTTTGGAATGATCCGAAACAGAAAGCGGTAGATTATGTTCAATTAAAAAACGAACAAAATAGCATTCGGCTTTTATAGGATCTGTTTCATCATCTTTTATTAAGAAATTTGTTATTTCTTTAGATTTTCTTTAGATTTTTGCCAAGTTCTATATGCTTTTGAGAAAACACATGCCGTTTACAGTCATCTTTTCCGCCATGAGCAACTGAGAAGTCTTTGTTGCATACACTGCAGTGTGTGTGATTCACAGAAATTTCGGACGCTTTAATGCATGGAAATTCTGAAGAATATGAATCTTTAAACTTCTGCTTTGATAATTTTGGCTTCTTCGTTCGAGGCAGCATTATGATTAAAAATCTTTCACCTGATTCACAGTTCACAAGACACACGCTAAGCTCTCGCAGTAAACTACACAATGCAGCCGAATGCAGCCT